CCCAAACCTTAGACAAATGAGCGGCCTATTCCACAGACCTGTGTAAATACATTAGAGGAAAAAACCCCTAACAGGCCGTAGATTTATGGCTCCGGTGCGAGATAACTAGAGTCCATCGCCTGATAGCTATGTTGATACATTTCAGGAGTCCTCAGACGGTAAAGTAAATTTTGTTTAAGGACAGATAAACAATTATAGGCCGTAAAGTCGGTTTTCACTTTTCATTAAACACTTGTAAGATTACGTAGGGAGTGTTTATTTTGAATATTAACTTACTTTGAAATAAAACAGAAAGATAAAAAATTAGTAAAATACATGTACATGTATTTTTATTTGTATTGAGGTATCCCATAACCCTTAATACACATTCGATTTCCATTTACGAGAGTGCATATTTCAGATATATTTTTTTTAGGCCGTTTCCTTTTCTTTCTTTTTTTTTTGGTAATATGAAGTCATTTCCCCGAGTGTTACCAGCTTTTGTGTCAAATATGTCCCAAAGCCTTATATTACTCAATTTATGGCAGAAAATGACTCACTTTATAAATTTCTTTCCCTTGTAGATCTATGAAATGTGACAGTCATATTGAATTTTTATCACACTATTGAATAACCCTACCCAGTAGGAAAAACGGTCTACTTAGACAATAAGTGAAATCTACACGGCTCAGACAGTGCAATGCAATCCCGTATACTGAACAACGCTAGCAACCAAGCGAGGTCGCCTAAACAAAAGGCAGAAAAAGCTGGCTTGACACCCGATTTTATCGCAATGAATTGGTCGAGAGTCGAATTTCTTTTACAGAACTCTCGTTTTGGCGACAAAATTGTATACCCATGGTGAAGTTTCGGTAGGAAGTGACACCTTGCTCCTCTGGGGTCATGCCATGCAAAACTAGCGTGCTTTTTTGCCTGTGCGTTTTTATTCACTTAAACATCCGTTTTGTATTTCGTCTATAATACACGATAGTCGGCAGAATTTATTAGGATATCAGGTTTTCATCTCCTAATTTTGCGTTTTTTAATTACTTATTGCTCGAATTGAGTTTATTTTAATTTCATGTACACGCTTTGCAGCTAGGTTCATATGTCGAGCAGAATGCGGCTATAGAGAAGAACAAAGTCTCTTATCTAAAAAAGAAATTCTCCACACGAAAAATTCACATTCAACATCAAAACTTCAAAACCGATGTACAAGATATAGGTACATGTTAACTCTGAAAACACACACGCTCGGATCACAGAGCTACAATTATCACTACAAAGCCTGCTCTAGGTAAAATTGTTTTGACGCAAATACATCACCCCTAAACAAGAGTGCACGCTGCAAAGATCTCTACGATTTGACAAAACTACTTTAAATCTATAAAATAAAGTAACTGATAGGTCTTGGGTTTTCATCACATTTGAGGCGTTTATCAGATAACTCGACTCTGGATTGTTAATACGTAATTCATCTCTTGTATATTCTTGCTCCAGTTTTTAAAGATTTGAGAACTAATCTAAAGACGTTAGTATACTGGGTATACTAGGGTAAACAATGACATATATGTTTTTTCCAAAGTGTTTTATACACGAATGGGTTATTTTTTAAAATCCAATTTAATTTTTTTTTTTTTGCATATATTTCTTTACGATAATATTCAATTCCCTGAGTTACGTTTCACATATAAAATTCAGAAAATTTTCAGGAGACACTGGGCGAAAAAAAAAAAATGACGACCTTTTATTCTATTAGTGGGAAAAAGACCGAAGTCATCAATTATTCCAATTAAATGAATTTCTGACAGTCGTCTGCTGTATCAGGTTCAGAATTGATTTTTGGAGTAAAATTCGTGTCATGATCACTAGGACGCTTTAACGACATCACAAGTAGCCTGTCAGCGGATATGCAAATACAACACCGGAAATAACCTCGGGTACGGCCTCCAATTTATCCGATTTATATTCAGGCGGCAGCTGCTGAAAAACAGAGTGTCATCGATTATTTCTAAGAAATAGTGGCTTCTGTTCGGCTTTGGTAAGATGACATATCCAAATCAAGCAAATTGTCCATTGTCCGAAACCGATTTCCGGAGACTAATGCAAGCAAACATCTGTTGTTGGTTCCGACTTTTATCTTTGCCCTTATCTTGTCCCGACTTTTTATGAATGTCGATATCGTACGTAGCATTAAATTATCCGATCCTAATTATGCCGTAATTATTGATTATTGGCCTTTGTTGGCGACAGTACATTAGCGCCCTGACGCCAGATGACAGATGTAATGCGACCAACAGCCAGGAAAGATAGATTTTTTTATGACCGTGAGTCTACGGGGAGAGTCGTCTCAATAATTATGTCGCCATGCGTTAATGACATGTCGATAATTAGGCGGCATGCTTAGATGAAGGAGACGGTGTGTATTTAATGAGAGAGCGCAATATTTCTTCACAAAGATTGAAGAAACTTTTCCTTGATAAAAACAAGAAGTACATGTAATTCTGAGAAAGAGATGAAATATTGCACAATTCAACCCACTTAATCTTTCGCAGACAACATACGACAAATATCATTGCAATTAGGCATTTATACATCCGGAAAACACTTCTTTGAAATAGAGATGCTATTATGCTGTCTCGTTTAGCCATAAAGCTAACGGAATTTCAGCGACATTGACACTTAGATTTTTAAGTACTTTGTAATGTGTCTGTAGACAATTCGATATTGTCATTTTCCTCTCCTTGTGTGATCTATGCGTGTGAGATTTCTCTATAAAGAAATAACAAAATGACATATATATATATATATATATATATATATATATATATATATATATATATATATATATATATATATATATATATATAAACCCAGCCATCTCTCATTCCTGAAATGACATTTATCCGAACTAGGACGACACATCATCTGTATCGCAGACCGACTTTTTTTCACACGGGTTAAAAGATCTTTAGAGTTTGGAGATAAATAAGTGCATAAGATGGATCGACTTTACACATTTATATTTTATAAGTATATTAATTTGTTGATTTATCTTTTAGTAAGGTTATATAGTCCAGGCATGTTTATAAGGATGCATGATCCTTCCAAATGAACATCGTAAAATTTGATTTTAAGTCGGCTGTACAGTTAACTGTAGAGAATATAACAGGGACCGCACTGCTTTGTTTGATGATTGATGATCTTTCTGGAGGGGGCCTGATAACTAAATAATAACGCATTTTCAACTTATTGATCGACTACAAAACGACCAGGTTCACCGCTTTAAAAATTATTAACTTTTCCCTGCTTTTTATCATTTCGTAACAAACCACCTTTAACATTCGACAGCTAGAATTTACCCCGTATTTTCATGAAGTTAAATATCTTACAGAGAGAGGAGGGGGTATTTATTATATTTCTAAATCTGGAATGGAGTGTGTTGCATTTGCTAATGGGGAAGATTTCAGTAGTGACTGTCTCCATTTTCTCTACATTTCCAAAGTAATATATTTTCTTCAGTGGAAATTTTAACATCCATTTATTTCCTAAATTTTTTTTTTCTTTTTGAATTTATCCACCTTTATTTCCAAAAAAAAAGAAGAAATGTCACATTTATACGAACCATTATATCGAACCATTAAAAATGATTTAGATGTTATGGGTTCATGGACCATATATGAAATTGAGTTTTTATAATCCCCCTTTGACCAACTGCCTTCTTGTTATGTGGCACTATAAATGGCCACATGACAAAGACTCCCCATGCAGTAAATAGCTGCGGTCCTAAAGAGATGGCTAAAAACCGAAACAACACATCTCCAGGTAATCTTATACAAGACAGCCAAACAACAGACTGTATAATGCTTTTTCGGAATGAAAGAATTCGTAATAGATTCTTTCTCTATATTTTTAAAGAGATGAGTTTAATGTCATATGAAAATAGCTTTTTGTAACAGGGGCCATATTAACGAATGATTTATGGATGGCAGATATATGCTTTGCCATATAGAGTCTATACACTAGGTACATCTTGTCTATATGGAAACATTTGGACAGGATTAAGCACTTTTTATTTCAAAAAGAGACATTTTCTCTCAGTTAATCTGAGCAAGTCATTTATCTTGAATATGTCATGCGTCTCTAATCTGGCTCCCCATGACTGATGTACGTATTTAATGCTGTGGGTTCTTATGGTGAAATGTCAAATCTTTATATGACATTAAAAACGACCACATAAATCACGCGATGGAAGTTCAGATTATTAATGCATTACAGATAACATAATTTTATTACAGTTAAATAGGAGGTTACGATGCCGAATGTTATTCCTGTCTGGTCTTAATTAAAGATAAATTACTCTAGAGAGAGAGAGAGAGAGAAAGAGAGAAATAGATGGATTGTTGATTGTTTTATTTTTTGCTATAGGTAAGATTCATGAATAGTTTATGAGAAATTCTCTCTCTCTCTCTCCCTCTCTCTCTCTCGTTTGTACTTTCTCCTGATCCAAGGTAATGCTTTAGATAAAGCACGGTTGGGCTCTCGTTATAGAGTTTCAAGGATTACGGGGATATCAGTGCATCTCTTTTAAATGAGAATTAAAATGCCGCGATCCAAAAATTTAATAGACTTGCCTGAGAGCAAATCTATCTAGACAGGAAGAGACCCCCCTTTTTTCTTGACATTGGAAACCTGTTACAGAAGGGCCTTATGAATCTCACTGAATAAAACATTGTCTTGAAGAATATATTAATAATTTACATGCCTTGTATGTAACAATTCATATTAGGACTTTTTTATGTACCTACTTTTGTGTACTCATGAATAAAACATATAGAGGAATTCAGCCATTGTATACTGGTGTATTGGAAACACTAGATCCCAAACGTCACATAATTGTTTGTACCACTTAAAATGAGCGTAAATCATTATATTCTCAAGTAATTATATGTAACATAAGACTGCAAACGTGAAAATGACATTCTTCAGATAATACTTTGATCCGCCTCTAAGATACCTACCGTTCACATTGATCGCCAGAAAGCACTGCATGACAAACAAGGACAATATTGTCTCCGAGAAATACATCTTCTGTATCATCCAAATCAGTGAATAAAATTCAATGTTTACATGAACACTATATTTATCCGGCACACATGGACATGTCGATTGAGTATGACCGGAGCATGAGGGATTTTGGATTTTTCACTCCGCTGCCATCCTCAGTGTTGACGATGTATCGGCTCTCTGATCCGAGCTCTTGTCGCCATGTTACTTTTACATCCACAGGATTCTATTATGACATGATTTTTATCAGTGAAAAACACAAAAAGACACGCTGAAGAATTCTACATGGCCGTTTTACTAGGCTGTCTATACAGTTTTTGGCTTGTCAGTCGATCCGCTTACGCGAGCAGTCGAGTGTAAACACAAATGATGAATGGCTATGCTAATCAAGTAGGCGGAGCAAAGGTATTCATCAGGTTCATTAAAGTGTTTGTTTTCTTAAAGGATTTAAAACAATCTTGAATGTGGGCGGGATCGAAGGTTTGTTTATGGGCGGGGTTAATTATGCCATGCCTGATTAATGCGAGCATGTAAAACGGCGCCGTGGAGTCCCGGCTTAGTAAAACACCAGGAAAACAAGGCCGTATGTTGATTTAATGTGTCTGTAGATAAACTGATTCAGTGTCTACCTCTGTAATGGTATTAGTCCGTCCTAATAATTATTAAGAAAATAAAAACAATTTTCTTTTTGCCCTCGAATGAAAGTAGGCTGTTTAGAGAGAAATCACTACGTAGACTGCACGGCATGTCGACGGTCTTTTGAAATTAATTCTGTTTGATATTTCGTTTTTCCCTTTTAGATTCACAAGTGAAAATGTCTTCTGTGGTTTGTTTTTTGTACGTCTTCAAATAAACTTACACTTGAATGGGTTCTTACAGGCGCTTTTCTCTCGTTATCACGTCTAATTATCGTTGACAACCTACAAGGGATTTTTTTTGTTATAACGTCACCCCTGCCCATAGAATTTAGCGTTTCATACATCCTTGCTGATAATTCTTTTTAAAAAAAAATGAATAATAAAATTAAGATAATTTTCGTCATTAAATCCTTTTATGAAAAATCTTTATCCTAAACAAATTACCAGGGCGATTAACTTACTTTAAAGAAGACAGTTGATGACGAGATAAAGTCAGAATTGTAGATTATACATGCTATGGATTAATAATTTGTTTATTCATCTGCCTTTTTTATAAATCAGAAAATTACAAATGATTCTGAAGGCGTCTCTTCAATCACAAATAAAAAGTCGAATGGAAGCAATTAGTCTCGTAAAAAGAAAAAAAAAATTGGTGCCTAAAATATATCTCCATCATAAAAATGATAGGAAATTAAAGTATATTAATATAATCTATGTAAATGAATGTCGTATTCTCATCTCCTGTTTAATTTCCACCATTTTATCTCTTTCCATTGTTTGGCCTGTAAATTATTGCTTGCTTACAAATGAAGGTGGGCAATTATGAGTGTCTGGAATGTGACTTTACAGATAAGGATCGGAACAGACGTACAGTGATCAATGGCGATATATAGCGATCACAACTTATGATTGATCTATCGTCTTCGTTATATGTCCCGCCTGCTCTTCAGTCAAATGAAGAATACATCCGATCAACACCTTTGTTTTTTTTTAAACCAATTATTCACACACTAATAAGCAATGTGCATTTACAGTGTACAAGTACTGCACACGATATCGTGCCTTGATAAATACAGTGATTTTCTATTATATGTTTGAAATCTAAGATATAGCGATTCAATATTTAATATTTTTAAAGAAAATTCTAATAGATATTGGTTATATGTATGAATTGCTAAAGTTCAGAGATTCGAAAGCTGCTTTCTCTCCCATTCACAGTCAATGTTTTCCTTCTGAACTGAGTAGTCCCCGTGGATAATCTATATCCCGCATGTTAAGAAGCTTATTCCGATTAGAGAAATCATTAATGGCTAATTAAATCGAGATAATAAGTTTCCGATTCTGATTCAACATCACTTGATCCACATGAACTGATGAGATCGAGTTTTTCCATCTTCAGGATATTCCACGGCTTATATATATAGATGATATTATATAGATATTTTTACTATATAGCGAAAACTGTCTTCCAACGTTTTACAAAAAAGACATATTCTGTTCAACTTTTATCAAATTTGATGCCTGGAAAATAAAATGATTTTGAAGTTTTTATTTTCTGTGGTCTGATTACTTAATTTCAGGCCCATAGTGCCACCCCCAATTTTTAATCTTTTGCTGAAAATATAGAATGGAAATTTTCATTCAAAGGCTGGTCCCCCCCCCCCCCCCGTTACACATTTTTAGATGAAGTAATTCCGAATCCTCCCACGTAACTTTATTCCTTTTTTTGTGCCGAAAATGAAGGAGAGAATCTCTCCCATCTTAAAAATAGGATTTTGAGTTTCGGCAGCATTCATATTATTTCAGTTACTTTTTTCTGGCTCCCTAAACTATGAAAAACGTTACTACAATACCTAAATTTGCCGTATCTTGTCTTATCCAAGATATTATATACATTGGAATTATTAGAATGAAATAACCATCTATTCCCAGCTACAATGCTTACAACCTTCACATATTTCCCTTCGATTTTGAATTGTTATACAACAACATATACAATATTATTCCTGATACACAAGCGTACGCGTAAAAGTAATTTGAATAATTCAATACAATCCACTTTACTAAGACCATATGCTAACGATTTTATTTTTAGATTATAAGGTTTGCAATATATTATAGGGTTTTAAGTGCTAAATAAGCAAATACTCACATACTGGTGATTTGAATCTTGTTAAGGAAAGAAGAAAGAACAGCAGTAATTTTACCTTTATCCTTATTGTAGTTTTTTATTTATCTTTTATTTTTTTATATATAGATATTTATTGTAAAACGGGAAAGTTAGTACAGAGAGATTACATATGGGATAAATACATGTATTTAAGAAATGAATGTAATTTTTGAAGATTCATGAGGACATGAACTACGACGCTTCACGCCGGCATATTTCATGAAGCGCGTTAGCGCTTCATGATAAATATGCCGGCGTGAAGCGTTGTAGTTCATGTACCTCATGAATTTTCAAAAATTAAATTCATTTTTTATATTTACATTATCTATCTGATGAATTACCACAAATTACGCCATTTAACTGTCATTTTTAAAGCAAAACAGTTTGCACTATAGTTTTGACGTCAAGTACGGTATTGTGACGTAACAATGAAAATATTCATGCTCATCCATGGTAGTTCATGAGAAAATGAACAGTCTTTTAATTTGCAAAGAATCTTAAGGAAAAATATTTGAAAATGTAAAATATATGTATATGAATTGTATAATCTCATTGTGACGTCACAACTGCACTTAACTGCATGTGGAATATGAAAAAAATATCCAATGATTGATGTCCACGGGATAAAAGAATAAATATGGGATAAATATTTTTAAACAATTGCTTTTTGAAGTTATGATAGCTTTACAATGTCTGACCTTAAACGTTTCTATCGTTGGCAAAATCTCTCGAACTTGCTTTTTTTTCAGAAATTCTTCTACAGTTTATACTTGTAAGTATATGTAAAAATATGTTCTTAAATACTGTCACGCAGTATATAGAAGTCAGGAAGTGGATGTTTTGATTTTGTTCAACTGCCAAAGCACTTTCTACATATACATGTAGTCGCCCGCGTGGCGCAGTGGTCAGAGCGTTTGCTCTAGAGTCGCGATGTAAGGAGTTGATCCTTATATCGCAAGTTCGAATCCACTGAGGGACGTGGAGACCGGTCCTTCGGATGAGACCGTATAAAACGAGGTCCCGTGTCGCAGTAGGTGCTGGCACGAAAAAGATCCCTCACTGCTAAATGGCCTTAAGTGCCGAGTATAGGTCAAAATTTGCAGTCCTCCACCGGCAAGTGGTGGCGTCTCCTTATGAGTGAAAAATTCTCAAGAGGGACGTTAAAACAACAAACAAACAAACAAACAAAACATATTCATGTAAGTACACCTCCTTTCAAATAACACAAGAATATTTAAGTATAATACATAGAAGCGAGGGTTTTACTCTGCAACGAAGGAAAACTCTAATTCAATGAGAGTTAATTTTCTTTCTTAATTCCTGTTTAAGCTTTGCTAGATCCAAGGTTTATCGACCCACTTTTCTTCCTTAATCAATATACATTTATATGTTGTATTTAAAACACAAGAAATTGAAGAAAATTAAAGAGGAAAACTGTTTGATTTAAAATTCAATGACAATTCCCTATTATCTTTATATGAAATTATTTCCACAAATTTCAAATAATCTGAAGAAGATATACATTATGTACATTTACATGTATATCGAAAAAAGGGACCTTTTTAGACTTTCTGTCTGAAGATCTCTCGGAACAAGTCAGAAGTGCTCAATCTATAAACAGAGAAAATATAAGTAGACTTTGTGTCAGCCATTAAAGGTCATGGGAAGGGCACGGATTTTTTTTTCCTTTTCCCTCCATTTTTCTTTAATCTTTATTCTTTAATATTTCTTTCTTAGACACAAAACGCTGATGTCCTCTACAAAAATTTAGAATTTCTTAATTTAAACAAGTTTGTCAAATACAAATTTAAAAATTATAATTTTTTGTAGATGACACAAGTTTTACACGTAGTTTGTATGCCAAAGTTACATATTTTATTCATTAGTACTTTGTATATTTATTTTATGTTTATGTGTTTTTTGAACTCTATATAAGAGAGCAAGCTAAGTTGCGCTTTGTTTTTAATCTTTCTGTTGAAACAAAGCTAAACTATTCTCATCAATGGGGGAATTCGCTCTAAATCATCTTTTTTTTTTTTTTTTGACCGCATTGTGTCCACTTAACATTTATAAAAACTTATTTTGAAAGCGGTCTTCTTGTGAGAATGTATACAAACATGTTTTATTTATTATTTATTTTTTTAAATTTTATTTTATTTTAGTCATTTGAAAATCCCTTTTTTCCCATTAAGTCTCTTTTTTAACAAAACCCTATATTGACTTGATTTACAGTGTATTATCAACCAATATTCAACTAAAAATCCATTAGTAATCTACTTCTGTAAATTGTTTTCTGAACTATTGGTTTTCATTTCGCATCAAACCAAAGTTTAAAATAAAAATAAAGCATTAAATTTTGATGTTGAAATCCTTCACTTCTTTGAATAAAGGCAGATTGTGGTACATTTGTATTATATTGTTCTCCATCACGACAGGCAACGAGAAGCTACAAACGCGGAAACCTCTCAACTTCACTCTAACAAGTACACACAGGGAAAGATTTTGATTGCTTTCAAAATGTTTTTTATTTCACATCATTTAAGTTTA